CTTATCTTTGCACTAAACTAACAGCTTAGACTTTGTCCAGTGAAAACAGGCTGTGACACCCTGAACAGTCCGGTGTATGTCGACACATATCTTGGACTCCTAATGCAGGACTTGGGATCCCTGTTGAGACTGTGGGTTCAAAGACCATCTCATTGTCTTGTTTGTTTTGCTTGTTCCACTTCCTCCCTTCACATGTTCATTGGACATATCACCTTATACGTATGGAAGTTTCAACTGCAATATGTTGCTGTGCCATGTCCGCTGTGCACAATGAGGCCAGAACAGTGTTACATTTCCTGAATCTGGAGTTACAGAGTTGTGAGCTGCCGTGTGGGTGCTGACTCAAACCTGGGTCCTGTGGAAGAGCAGCCATGCTCCTAACTGCTGAGCCATCTCTCCAGCCCTCATGTCACCTTTCTTAATTCTGCTTTCACTACTTTCGGCTCACCATACGTATAGTTTACAACAGAATAAGAAAGTGTTGAGGGTTGTTCTGATGCTGGTCCTCAATATCTGGTTAAACTTATCCTTGTGTAAGCCTATCCTTGTTGTGTAAACCTGCCTAACTCATTATATCTGAGTGGTTAATTAAACAGCAGGGCAGAATGGGGTAGGCATGGCCAAGGTTTCTGGGCTTGGAGAGGAGAATAACTGGACACAGACAGATGGGAAGGGAGGAGGAAGGAAGACACTAAGATGGGTTATCCTGGAGAAGAAACCACATGGGGCCAGGAGGAGGTACTCCAATAAAGGCATGAAAAAGCCCAGATAAAGGATACAAGCAAGCATTTATAAGATTATGGATAGATGATAGGATGGTTAATGAGGATGGCATTGAATGGGGGCTGGGAGATGGATGGTGAGGTTCTTGAGACAGTGTAAGTAAAATATCTGCCCAGGCCAAGAGAAATAAGGCAATTATAAATCTAACAGGTGTCTGTGTCTTATTATTTGTGATAGTGGGTTAGATAATACCACCGTGATAATCATAGGGCAAATAATAAACATTATATAGCCCAATACTTTTTTTTTTTTACAACACCAGAAAGAACAGAGGGATTTTCTTTCTCAGTGTGATATGCAGAACTTGGGATATGTATATAAAAAATATTATAATACTGACTTAAATCAAATTTCCCTAATGTTTTAGTTAGGGTTTCTTTTGCACTGAAGAGACACCATGACCATAGCAACTCTTAGAAGGAAAACATTTAATTGGGGCTGGCTTACAGCTCCGAGGTTTAGTCCGTTATCATGATGACAAGAAACATAGCAGCACACAGACATACATGGTGCTGGAGAGGTAGCTGATTGCGCTACATGCAGGTTTTAAGACAGCAGGAAGAGAGTGAGACACTGGACCTGATTTCAGCATCTCGGACCTCCAAGCTATCTCCTGTTGGCGTCCTCCAATAAGGCCACACCTCCTCCAACAAGGGCACAGCTCCTAATAGTTGGCACATTCTGTTGGCCTATAGGGGGCATTTTCATTCAAACCACCACACCTGACATACCAAAAATGTATTTTCAAAGAAAATCTTATTTTCATACAGACCAAGTTGGCTAGTGAGACTAGACATATGTGTGAGCCTGGGGTTTGACTGAGACCCTGCCTCACTGAATGTGGTGGAAGAGTGATGGAGGACGATTCCCAACATGACATAGGTGGGCCTCCATATGCAGGCACATCCTCCCATGTCTCAGTTACTTTTCAGTTCTGTGAAGAGACGCCACGACCGAGGAAAGTTATGTTTAAAAGTGTTAATTGGGGGCTTGCTTATAATTTCAGAAGATGAGTTGGTGACCGTCACGCAGGGTGCAAGGCAGCAGGCAGGTACATATGGCACTGAGCAGTGGTTCTGAGCGAGACTGGGCCTGGCTTGGGCTTCTGAAGCCTGAAAGCCTACCAGAGTGACATACCTTCCCCCAACAAAGCCATACCTCCTGATCCTTCCCAAAATAGTCCCACCCACTAGGGACCAAGCATTCAAATATATGAGCCTATGGGGACCATTCTCATTCAAACCACTACAAGGAGCACTCCCCAACCCCTCTACATGTGTGTCCACATACTGAAAAACACACACACACATATACACAAATACACATGTAATATACACATACTTATATACATCCATATTGTAGGGAGCCAGGCACTGTGGCACATACTGTAACCATACTTGGGATGCTTAGACAGAAGAATAGAAAGTTTAAGGCCAGCTTGAAAAACAAAAACAGTACATTTTTTTTCAAGACAGAGTTTCTCTGTATAGACTTGACTGTTCTGGACTAGCTTTGTAGACCAGGCTGGCCTCCAACTCACAGAGATCCACCTCCCTCTGCCTCCTCAGCGCTTGGATTACAGGTGTGCGCCACTGCGACTGGCTAAAAATAGTACTTCTCAAGGAAGAAAAGCTAAGCATGGTGGTTTATGTCTGTAACCCTAGCTTGCAGGAGGCTGAGGCCAGGGCGTACAGGAATTCAAGGCTAACCTGGCCTACAGTACTAGCCTGTCTAAAAACAAGACAAAACAAAAAAAGGGACTTTGAACTCAGATGGTAGAGGGGTTGCTCGGCACACATGAAGCCTTAGGTCTGACCCTCAGCACTGCATTAGTTCAGCTACATGGCTTCCACCACAGCAATAGAGACACAAATAAAAGAGGATCCAAATCCTCCGTGGCTACACAGAATATTTGAGTCTAATCTGGGCTAGAGAACTGGGGTTGGGTGAGATAAGAAGAAAAAGAATGGGGAAGAAAAAAAGAAAGGTTAAAAAAAATGTGAGTCAGGTTATAGCTAAGTGATAATGTTTTCCATGGAAGAAAATTTAGGTTTGATCAGTAGCACTGAAAAAAAAATATTTTAAGGCTAAGGGCATACATGGCTGACTGGTAAAGACCTTGCTCGCCTGCAACACAAAAATAAGCAACTATGAACAATCTTCCAAGAGGGCCTTTACTCTATTTCCACAGAGACGGTGATCTGTGGAATGGATCTGAGGGTAAGCCTGGGATGTCAGTATGCAGGACAACTTACAAAATAAACCTGCATCATGGTCCAGTGTGTCATGAAATGTGCTGAAGACACCAAGACCCCAGTCCCACTCAGCGTGAGCCAGGAGATCCTCAAAGGATTCCAGACTCTTGTTCAGTGGACTCCTGGGTCTTCCAGAGCATTGTGAGGCAAGACAGAACTAGAACTAGAGACTCAAAAGAGGAATCTGCCACAGCCCTACCTACCCTTCATAATGTGTTCATCTCTGAAGGGAGAAGCCTAGTCAAGAAAAATGGGACTGCCTTTCCCAAGGTGGTATTAGGGGTTAGTTGTGGTGCTGATTTGGGATGGTGGCACAACATTTCAACCTGGAAAACAAATCTTCTTGTAGGCAGAACTGAAGATGGGCCAACACAGTTCCCTGGAGGTATGAGGCCTGCAGCCTGAAGGGACCAGCAGGTAACTGGGCACCACAACCTGAGGCCAGTCAGTCTCAAGCAAGAGCAGCATCCCCTTCCTCCAAAGGTTTATTGGCCTGAGGAAAGTGGAAGCACTCACATTCCCTCAGGATCTTTAGAAAACAGGTGAAAGTGATCCTACCCCTTCCTCCTTTGTTTGCTAGTCCAAACTGGACTGACACGTCAAAAATGACCACTCTCTTTTCTGTGGTTCAAGATCTAACTCCTTAATGGAGACAGTGCCTGAGCTCCAAGAGAAGGGCAGGCAACGACATGAATTATCACATTGGGTCTATTTCCTGAAACACAAGGACAGTGTGACTTTGACAACAGATCTTGGGGACCTAAAGAGAGTGATGTTACATGGAAAGAAAAGTGACTTGTTAGTCTCTGTAAAGCACCCTTTAATTCCACACTGGGGAGGCAGAGGCCAGCCTGATCTTCATAACATAGTGAGTTCCAGGCCAGCCAACCCTGCATACTAAGACCTTGTGTTGAGGAAAAAGAGGAGGAGGAGGAGGAGGAGGAGGAGGAGGAGGAGGAGGAGGAGGA